TCAAACTCGGCCTTAAAACTATTAACATTGTACTAAAATTAGAGAGCTGTTTTAGCGAACAACATATCAAATACGATACAGCATTATATTTGAATTTGCCGCCCACGAGAATTGCCGCCCGGGGCAAGAACCCCGGCTTGCCCCCCGCTAGATCCGGGACTGTTTAAGCCAACAACAAAAGATTTGTAAGTTTCCAGCGCTTATGTATTAGCCAGACTTAAATGACTGAAAGCTTGCATATACTAGTATCGACAAGAGATAAATGTCGCCAACTTAACCCAGGGAAAAGTTCAACACAGAAATACATCTTTATATACCAATTAAAACTATAACAGACTGGAATTATGTGCAGTATTATTAGAGAAATGTCACAAAATAATAATGATTATAATGATACTGGTCCAAATTTGATCGCCTAACCGATATATTTAATAAAATTAAGATAGACGTTTCTTCCCTAGAAATGGATATTATGTATCTACAAAGAGAAGTAAGGAATGCTTTTCTCATGTCCCTAATCCTTCATATAAAGATTGCGTAATTATACGCAGCTTTTTTGACAATTTGTATCATGGGTTTAAAAACGCTTCAATTTCAGAAATTCAGAACCAATAAAAATACATTATAGACCCAGAAATTCGCCGCTGACGCATTAGCTGCTTACTTTACATAACAAGGGCTTTATATTTTGCACCGAAGCATCATGAAATCATTTTGTGCCCAGCAAATAGTTTTAAGTGTTTCTGAGTGTTTGCAGTCCCAGTAAATGAATTTTTTAATAAAAAAAGTTTCTGAGCTGAAGAAATTCAAAGGCGTTTACAACGGCAGGAATTCTGTCACTTTTAGAAAATACAGGAAGAGTACTAAAAAAATTTAGTAATTATAATATAACTGTACTATTTATAAATAGTGTAGATGACCTTATTCACACCTGCTTTGTGAGCATGAGCAGGTAATTATTTGCATATACCAGCTTGTAGTACCTAACATGCAAATCTGATGTTTGCTGCATGCCGCCTTCATGGTGGATTTTTAATGGCCAGCAGTGTACTTACTGTTACATAAAATGTATATTACTTGAATCATGTTGACTTGATTGTAATATGAAGCATTTTGGCAGTATTATAATTTTAAGAATTTCCTTCATTTTGGATTCAAAGATTAATATTCTTCATTATTTAGCCTTTCATATTAGCTAATTACTGTGCATACAAGCAGAATGTATATCTATTGCCTGTTAACTTTACCTCTTATTTTATATTTTCGTTCTGAGAATCGATTAATTACTGGCTCGCGGAACAGCACATTAAAAATTTGGAATGCGGACAGATTTTGTTGTATCGTCAACCATAGTTTTTTTCAATAATTTCTTAAACTTAGCAAAAGCATTTCAGCAGCTAATTACTTTTTCTAAAAAACTAAACATTCATGATTGAAATATCTCCCTTGTAACGTTTACATGCAAAATATTCACTAACTCTAATAATCATAACAGTATGAAATTGTTTAAAGGTAATTTTTACATATCATTACAAAATGTTGCTTAAAAATTACCAGACTTTTAAACAAAATATACCCAAATTATCAAAATATTTGAAACAGAGTACAAAAAGTAATTACCCTCTACAGATCATAAATCCGGCAATAAAAACTTCAAGTCCCAGATCTAGTCTCCCTCCCATTCCTCCACAAACTATAAGCGTTATTGATCTGGCAATAAAAACTTCAAATCCCCATTGAGTTTTTTCTTAACACATGTAAAAGAAGCACATGAAAGCTAAATATCAAGCTATCCACTTCTTCTTCTGCACATGTGACAGTCATTATTCCACAAGGTGTAGGTGCATTTAATTACGGCAAAGCACACTAGGGCTATCTGCCTAAGGGGAGGGATGCCTTCGTGGAGGACTTTTTAAGGGAAAATGGCTTGTATACACGTTACACACGGGGAAAACCACGAAAACACCCATGCAGCCACCCCGTTCGCGGGTTTCGAACCTCGGACCGAACTACCAGTGCTCAGCGACTTTACCGCTCGGCCGCTGGTGCGCCCATTATTCCACAAAATTAGAGCAAAATTCACTTTAAAGCGATTTCAATACCTTTCTAAGGTTTATTCACAGTAATGTCAAAAGAAATTTACATATAATTTCAGAGAATTCTTACTTAAGATCTATTCCACTAACAAGTTTCATCAGTTTTTAAAAACCATTGGATTTAGAGAAAGACATTCCAGTAAACTTTAATTTGGTGTTTTCATATTGCTGCTTCACTGCTATTTTTATTTTTCAGCTAAACTGTCTATAACTGTAAAGCTCTTTTAAATTTCTTTCTACTGCTTTTTATGCAGTTGCTCATCATTTTATTTCTCTCTTATAAACACACGCCCACTCAAACATACACATTTTGCGATGTTCATTTTTAAGCAGTTTCCAAAATCATTTATGTAACCAATGTTTAGCTAAAGAAATAAACGATTAGATCAAATTTTCTATTTCAATCTTATTTACCGCTCAGATCATATACTAAGAATAACTACTTCAGTTTACTGCAGAATTCTTTTCATAAATGTTTTAATTACATTTTGAAAACTTCATGATCAAATAGGTGTAATAAATACTTCAGTCTGACCTATGCAGAAATTACGAAAAACATAGTGCAGAAATTTATCTTTAAAATTTTAAAATAGACATACAAAAATTAAATACACCTTTAAGTATTAGTTTGGTTTATTTGATAATGACAAAGCACACGAGGGCTATCTGCCTAAAGACAGGGACGCCTCTGTGGAGGACTTTCTAAGGAAAATTGGCTCATAGCCACTCTACACATGCACACTGCGGAAAAAAAACGGGAGGGACAGTTCTATATCTCTCGTTCCTCTCGGCCGATTGACTAAATTCAAATTGCAATTTTCATGTCTCGAAAGCGTGACTTTGGATATATATTAGATTTATACAGCATTGTTCTAATATAGGTATTTTGACAGAAAATTTGACTTTTTCTGAAATGACATGCCAGTTTTTTTTTTTTCCATATTTCGATTCTAGGACTCATGTTCTGCCTAGATATTAAATTCTGTAAATTTTGGTGAGAAATTTACCTTAGCGCATTTTTTCGTTTGCGCCAAGAATAATTCACTTGGCGAACTTCTTAAATTATAGCAACCTATTTCCCTTTCCTTTCATTGTACACGAGCGGAGAAAAAGTCTTCGTTCATACTTTTAAATAATTTGAACAAAGTGCGTAAACCATATTTATCGTTATCACATATAAAAAATATGTCAAATTTCAAAACGCGCCAACATGTAAATTCATTATATCTTAGGAAGTTTTGAATAAAAAACTCTAATTTTTTGAAGGTATGCTTAAAAATACATCTACTTTAAAATGATGTTAAGAATTTTATTGGTTATATTAATTCAAAATTTTTTCGAAAAATTTATACAAATTTAAAAAATAAATCATAAAAAATGGGCGAATTTTATTTGGAATGAACATAAATTTCGAAATAGGAAAGGAAGAATAAAATAAGTTTAATAAATAATAGGTATTAATAAATATATAATCAAATTCTGTTAACATGGAGGAGCTAAACTTTAGAGAGCTATTTTTTTAAAAACTACTCTTGCGATTTTTACAAAACTCGGCAGTTTGTTATAATTTGAGTCATAGAATCGAAATATGGAAAAAATTGGCATGTCATTTCAGAAAAAGTCCGATTTTGTGTTAAAATACCTATATTAGAACAATGCTAAATCTAATACATATCCTAAGTCGCGCTTTCGAGACATGAAAAACGCAAGTTGAATTCCCTCAATCGGCCCAGTAGAACGGGAGATACAGAACTGTCCTTTTTTTTTCCGCAGTGTACATAGTATATATAATCTTACAAGCAATGGAATCCGACAACATATTTTCATAATTCACAGTTCATCTACAACAGATTGACATTCCCCCAAACGGAAAGTTATTTATGTGACATTAAATTTACAGAGCGTTGTTTTTGGTGACATGATTATGGATTATTTCTGAAATCCAAATTGCATATAACTGAAGTCAAAATAAATGCTGTTCGTTGAAGTCAAAATATCTCCATACTGGAGAGAAAACTGGTTTCTTCATTCACTACCGTGATAAAAATAGCTAAATCATTTTTGGACAACAAAGCATCTTGCTGTAAGATGCTATATCCAGTTAAAAAATTTTCAGTGAAAGTTATACGGAAGATAAGCCTACCAGTGACTGAATAGATCAGATTGTTGAACAACAGTAATTCATCCCACGCACTAAATTCAGCAGATGAGCTAGGTGCATAGTTATTTCCGTAGTTTTACCCAGAAGTAAGTCCCCGGTTTCCAAGAAAAATGTTACTTGAAAAGGTATATCTTCCTTCAAGGACACAGCTCTCGTGTGCTTTGCTATAATCAATTGCACAAACAAATAAGGTGATGAAAATAAAGAATCCCGTTAGCAGCTAAGTAATACTAAGATTTCGTATCTATAGATAATTGGCTGACTGATGAATGACATTCTATGCAATATGGTGCATCTCACTTCAACTACATACAGAATCATAACAGAAAAGTAGGTTACACTGCTGCTGAAATTCCAAGATGTTATTTCTTTCTTAATTAATCTTTTTAGAAGTCAACATAATTCGCAGGCACAGGATATTAGCATTGTAAACAAAACGACTTCATTGAAGAATTACTGCACAGAACTGGAGACATAATTATTAAACACACTCTCACACTAGATATAGCTTATCTCTAAACAGTAACTATGAAACCGCAGTGAAAGTCGCATTATTTCAGACACAAAATTGCAAAGATACTAATGCAATTTCTTAGCGATAATGAACCAAATATTTATAAAGAAAGTACAATAAAAAATATTTTAAAGCGGTATTCTTACAGCTGCTTGTGAAAAAAAGAACACTTTACTGCACATTAAAGTACTTAAATCATAAAATACTTGAAAATTAAGTAAAATTTAACCTGAAGACTTGAATGCATAGTAGGAACATATCTTTCAAAGAAAATCACTGCTTTTTGTTGATCAAAGAAAAAGTTCGCAAGAGCATGCTTATACTTTTCCATCTCATCTTCAACCTGTTTGGGCAGAGAAACTAATGATGGAATGTGACTTATTGGCACAATAATTACATGATCTGTAACAAGGCAGCCTTTAGCAAGAGCCAAATAAACCTAAAAAGAGAAGACATACGCAATTTAAAATATTGTTAACATAAAAAGAGTGAGAGCCTTATTGAAAACTAATAATATACAGTTTATGACAAAGATGAAAATCAGAACACAACATATTCAGACATGAACGCAAAAATTCATACAAGTCCCTTTTATTGCTGAGGATGGTCAGAAGTACAATACAAACATAGGGATACGTGAGTTAGTAACTTAATATGTGGAAACATCCTAATAATAAACTAAATATATTTTTCAAAAATTAATAAGAAATTTATTCTCTATTACAATATACTTACATTTTCTCCTACATTAATGACGAGATGCTTATCCGCTACGTCATTTTGTAAGCAGAACCAACATCCAGAGGGGTTCACCTCTGTTAAATAAAACAAAATTAAAATTTGAAATTGTAACAAAAAGAAAAACGTACAACATAAATGTAAAAATACATCATCTATGTAAAACGAAATCAGTATTAAAAATAGAATGATTTTTCAAAACTTTTGAGCTGCCAATTTTGATATGTCTTATAACATACGACAGCACATAAAATATGAGGGAGACTTTTATTCACATTTTCATTACGAAGAATTCAACATGCTTTACATATTTAATAGCAATATATTATTCTTATATATACAGGAAGTTGCCCAAACTATTGCAAGCACACATGTAAAAAAAGTGCTCAATTGTTATTCTTCATGGCTGCAAGTAACAGTAAGAATAGCATTTCTAGACAAAGTAAATTCTAGGTACCTGAAAAAATTAAATTAAAAAAAAAAAAAAAAAAGGATTCCATTCTACTGCACAATCTTTGGTCTCTGGCTTCTTCAGTTTACATGCTCCTCAAGAACTTAACCTCTTTAAGCCATCAATGGAAGAACACATCAGTTTTATAAGAAAGTGTTTTGGTTATTCTTCCACGTAGCCTAATTTATTTTTCCCATAATTACTTAGGAGGAAAAACATTTTTTACTATGCCACTTTTAAATCACATTTTAAATGCATTATTTTCAGCTTTAGCTAATTCAAGTTTTAAATATAAGTTCAATAGAAATAAACCGAGTGGTCTGTTATTAGAAATCGCAATCCACTGCAACTGTATTGTGATCAGCTGTGACCTAACTATACGAGCTCACGCAGCCAGTATTGTTGCTGTTAGCTTTATACCGGTTTTCTATTCAATTTTCATCTCATTACATATATGAAATGTAGAATCTCATACATTATTTGTGTTGTGCAGCCGGGGAAACAGAAATGAGACAAATTTTGGAATATAACGTGATACGTTTATTTTAGCATCCATCTCACAAGAGTTCCTGCTGTACCTCAAGGAGAATCCCTATTTATAGATATGTGTGCGTCATGGTGATCATCCAATCAGCGATATTGAAATCACGAGGTGATGCTCTCTTCTCATCAGGGGTATTCTTAAGGATTTTATGTAATATGAGAGATTTATGAGTTTGGCGATTTGGCGGGCGCCAACAGATTAATATAACTTAGAATAAAGAAAAGATTTCGTCAAAATTTAGGAACAGAGATGCAATTTAGAGAATCGCCAACACATTATTAAGCAATAAGATTAGAATTTAATTTAATCAATTGATTTAAAAATATTTCCTTATTTTGCAGCATATTGCGCAAAATGTTATCTAGACCAAATTCGTCATTCAGTATCGTAATAACTACCTTGCTTGATATATTATTTCTTTTTCGCAGCTATAAGCGCAAAAAGTTTCAGTAAGTTCTGATGTATTTAGTTTTTTAGGTTTTTAAGCTTTAGCTTATAAGTTGCCGGAAACTGTTTACAGTTCCCCTTTCACGATAGGTTAGTCTTCCTCCCAAAAAATACTGTAAAGCAGGCTAGCTCCCTCTTTACTTTCAATCACTGGCTCAGATAAATAACATAGAAATAATTAAGTGAAGCAACCAGCTTTGAAAAACCTGTAAGGCTAATGCTACTCCTCCTCCTTCTACTTCAAGTAAAACATAATCACTTTGAAAGAACTTACAATTGCATCTACCAAATTACCTGTTAAAGAATGTTCTCTCACGTATATAGGTCAAACAAAAAAACCCTCTCAACCTCAGAATTAATAACCATAGATCTCATATCAAAAAATTTAAAAATAAAAACAATAATAGCACCAAAGATTATCAGCTTACAGCAATTCTTCAACATTATAATTTACATAATTTTAATAACATAGAAATAAACGTTCCTGATATTGTTCCAAACACCAAACTTAGACTGTTTAAGGAATCGATTTACATACTTCAAAAAAAGTCACTTTATCCTTACGGACTAAATGCATATCTTAGTAATACCACCAATAGACAGCAAGAAATCTCTATATATGGAAAATTCAGATTTTTTAGCAATACTACTACCAGAGGATTTACATACTTCAAAAAAAGTCACTTTATCCTTACGGACTAAATGCATATCTTAGTAATATTACCAATAGACAGCAAAAAATCTCTATATATGGACAATTCAGATTTTTTAGCAATACTACTACCAGAGGATCTAGAGGAGGTGATAACAAAAACAAAAAAAAAAAATTTTTTTTTTTCAACACAAGATCTGAAATTAATTATTCACAATCTTAATTCCTACCTTGAACATAAAGAATTCGCAAAAAAATGCCATAAAACTTCTTCATACCTTTAAGAATACTACCTTATGGAATCTGATAAAAACAGTAAATCAACCTTCTCAATGCTTCAAAATTGTCAAGGATCTGATTATAGACTTCTGCAATTTTAAACTAAAGAACAGTAATTTTTTTCACAAAAAACTTTTTTGTACTATTCAGTTCAAACACCCTTCTTACGATAAGTTAAAAATACCTAGTATATTTAAAAAATTTCAGCACTTACTTCCTGACCAACCACTTCAAATTAAACCCTGTTTTAAATTTGAAAAAACCTTAGGTCAACTAATTATCAACCACCACGTTATACAAGATAATAGCAAATGTAATTGCCAATTGACTGTCTACAAAAAATATGTCGATCCTTTCCACCAACATGTTATTACTGGAGATCTTAATATCATTGAAGATGTAGAATTACGAACCCTTTTGCAACTTGGCACCAAATTTCGTCCTACTTTCGGTATTAATAAACACGTTTGCCTCAAACAATTCAATAATGATCTTGATAAATTTATTATTTTAGCTAGTAATAGATCCAATTTACCCACTACAACTTTTCTTGAATGGAAAGCTGCACTAATTAAAGAATTTCAATGTTTGCTGTTCAAGTCACCTTTTTTCAACTCTTTACACAATAAAAACGTCTAGAGGATCTAATTCAAAAATTGCAAGATAACTTTATCATCACGAAGATTGACAAAGCTAGCAACAATTTTACTGTTATTTGACAACAATTCTACTTCAACCTTCTGCATAAAGAGTTAAATAACACCTGCACTTACCAAAAAATCACTACCAGTACTAAGATTCTTCTCAATAAATTTAACGCACTTCATAAAAGGCTAAAAATACAACCCCAGAAATATAACAACAGGTTTGCCAATCTCTATGCCTTACCTAAATTTCATAAGTCTCCAATAAAATTCAGGTTTATAGCTAATAGTACCAAAAGTTATCTCAAAGAAATAGATTATCTCTTTGCACAAAAACTTCGTATGATACGTGACCTAATTAATAACTATGATTTTGAGGGTCTGCATTGCAACTGGATGATCTCTAGTAACGAACTAGTTCTTAAGACTGTGAATTCACTTAAAATAGACCATATCCAATGCTACGACTTTGAAAACCTCTATTCTTCTCTACCACTTGAAGAAAATTTTACAAGTTTACTAGCTCTTCCAGATTTATTTCCGCAAATTTCTATCATTCTCAGCAACGAAAAATGGCAACTATTCCTCTCCAGCGTGCTCTTCAATAATTTTATTCAATTTGACAATAGCATCTTTAAACAAGTACAGGGAATCCCAATGGGCGGTAATTTTTCAAGCTCTGTCTGTGAATTATTCCTTTTTACAAAAGAATTGACCTATGTCCGTTCACTCAGTACAGAAGAACGTATATTTTACCAACACATCTATAGATATATTGATGATGTCATTGCATTTAATAGCTACAACAAAATAGAAGTAGCTAATATCTACCCTACATGCTTAAAACTAAATAAAACAAATACAGAACAGCATAATGTAGTCTACCTTGATTTACATATTATAGATTACAATTTTATTAAAGTTTACGACAAAAGAAGAGAATTTAATTTTTCCACACTAAAATTAACTAACTAACTACTGGAATTCAAATATTTCCAAAAGAGTCATACTTAACACAATTTATTCACAGCTACTCAGAATAAAAAGAATCTGCAATACTGCGAAACACTTACAAGAAGAAATACTATACTTCGTAACTATTTTGAAAAGTAACCTAATTCCTCATAAAATAATTAAAATACCCTAAAAAAAAAAAAAAGCTGGCATTAGCCTTACCTATTTTTAGATTTTTTGAATTAGATAATGATATTTTATGCCTAAAGCCCGATGACTGACGGTGTTAAGATGGATGACTGATTCAGAGAATCTATTGTAAAAATGTACAGATAATTCTTGTTTTATTCATTCTCTTTCCTCCAAAATTTTAGCACTTTACTTTTAAATACTATTGTTTAAATAGTTTTAAATTTCTATTACGGCCAATTTTACTGCTTTTATTAACAAATCGGGCCTTTTCGTTTTTCATAGTAGCTTGATCGCCCGCTAGCTTGAAGAATTACGACTTTTTTAACAAGTGACTGTTTTTTCCTTTTACTTTTGCTTTTGTGGCCAAGTTTTGTAGTTTTAGCTGAATTAGCCATTTTCATTTTCATTTTCATTTTCACTTTCAGTCACAATTTTTTCTTCCAACTACATGTCAGACGCCATTTTGAAATCTTTTCACGTTTTTCCGAGTTTTCCGACCCCCTTCGATAATTAGAGACGATGTGCAGCTAACGGACAGTCTTTTCGTATTGGCTGATGCCCACAGAACATCGCTCCCCCCTACATACGTCACACGACTGAAGTACACAGAAGGGAATTACAACTATTTTTCTACTTAGTTTTAAGAGGGAGAGCTCTGCATCGCCACAGGTCAGTTTTTTATGTTTCTTTTGTTACAACTTTTTCTTGGTCTTAGCAAGACCCACTTTGTTAGTTTTCATCTTAATTTTCTTTTATTCTAATTACAGATTACTAAAATATAAAATTATAAATCTTTAAGCTTGCAGGTCCAGCCCGTATGTTTTTGTATATTTAGGACTAATAGCAGACCGCTATTTATTTTTGTTTTTATTTTTAATTTTAATTTTTAATTTTAATTTTTATTTTTATTTTAG